GATAATAACACAGAAGAGGAAACAAGGGAGAGATGGTGGAGGAATGACAGTGGTAGGTGGTGAAGGAGAAGCTTTTTACCGTTTCCTTTCCCTTTCTGCAGGCTCATAAATGCTCTAGTTTGGAGGAAACCCAAAGGTTTTAAAGATGGATCCTGTGTGATTGGCTTATCTGGTTGGTGATGAGGCTGGATAGAGGGGGGGGGAGAGAGAGACTCTCCCTTTTGGTTTTATCTCTAAAGTAAAGTGTGTTTTATCAACAGCTTTCTCCCCCGGACCTCAAATAGCCCACCTGACTATCTCCTTCTGTCAGATCTTGGGTCAGTGCCTGGAGGCTCCACAGCCGATGGTTTCGTGACGGCACTTCAGAAAAGAGCAACTGTGGCGTTTGACGAACAAACTCCACACCGAGCAGCATGTTTAGGATCTGCCGGGTCACAAGCCTCTTCGTACAAAACACTGAAACGCAAACATACACCTGCAGGTTGGCTTCTGGGTACTTCAACCAGGTCTGTAGGCTGAGACAGACATGATGTCAAACTGTTTTTGTTTTGTTTTTAGAGTCAATAGTTGATTTTAGTGTGTAGAACGTCATCGCCATCATTCGCCCGATTTTATTTTGTAATTATGTTCTTAATTATTTTCATTCTGATCTTTACGACGCTAAAATTTCCACGTAACTTTATAATTGGTCTGTCTGATTAAACAATTTTTAAATATTAAATGATTGATATTTTGAGTTGCCTCTCAGCAAATGCTTCTTTTACTCTTATTTGAGTGATTTCTTACTCAGCTGATTTGAACTTTTACTTCAGTAAACACGTTGATGTGGTGGTACTCTCGGTTTTGGTTACTCTATCCACCTCTGCTGCTCACTGATAGGCATATAATTCTTCAATTGAATCATTTTAGAATATAATAGTGCCTAAACATTTGACATTTGCGATTCAGTTCATAGTGTTATTTTTCTCCCTCCACTTTGCTTTCAGTTTACAGTTTGTGTCACAGACACAAGCGAGTTCGATTTCTTGTCATGGCTTCCAGTTTTCACTAAATACACCAAATGATCTGCTCACAGCCTCTGACCTCATTCAGCCTGTGGTCGACCGAGCATGTTTAGTGAAAAAAACAACAACAACACAAAAACAGCAGACAGTCTTTGTGGCTGCGTCTGCCTCAGCAGTGAGCAAAGACCAGGCAGGTGGAGCTTAGTGACACAGAAAGTGCTTGTTTTGCATGTGAGCTGTCAACTTCAGGAGTCACACGAGAAAAGCCTCAACTGCCATGCAAATGGGAGGCAAATCGTATTCAAATTCGACTGATGTGGAAGAGGACGGGTCAAAGAGGCGAGAGTGAACCAGCGCTATGCGTACCGTGTGAACCCTGATGGTGCAGCGACGTACGTCAAAGTTTAATGTTTGTGTGTCTGACTTTTGGCGAAAAGGCCAGTCCAGTTTCACCACAGCGGCCACAGTTGCCCTCTGGAGAAGGACAAACTGTGACGTCAGACTGAGAGGGGGGCAGCAGCTCCGAAGACAATAGTTTACTGTGCAGGACGAGGGCCAAGGCGTGGTCTTGCTGGACAGAGGCTCTTCTCAGGGGACCGGCCCGAGCAGCTGCCTCAGCCTCTCGATCTCTGATACACACACACTGTTTCAATTCAGCATGAAAGCTGAAAGGATCCATGTTAATTCCCCCTTACACTCATGTTTCTCTGGTGTGTGTGTGTGTGTGTGTGTGTGTGTGTGTGTGTGTGTGTGTGTATGCGTGTGTGTGTGTTGGTGTGCGAGCGTGTCTGCGAGAATGCCAGTCGTTCTTTCCAGGCTCTGAGGAACGCGCGGACGGAGGTGGAGTGGGAGAGCCCCGGGGAGAGAAACGTAGCTCATAAACAGAAGCAAAACAAAGAAGCGATGGAGAGAGAAGCTCTCAATCCCTCCTGACCGCCGCTGATGCTGGCTCAGATAAACGATGGCGAGTGTGTGTCCGCAAAGTCCCGGCATGCTCCTCGCCGAACGCTGCGTTGGCTCCTCGTTTCGGTGCCGACCTGGTGCCAGACGGCCATGAATGTTCGCAAGGCATCGAAAGTCAACTCCAAAATGAGAGGACAAGGCAACATCAAGCTGGCCAACAGCTGGTCCATGTTGGGCGACTTTGAAAATAAAACCGATGGAGGTTTCAGAAGACCGAAGCCTGGGGCAGATGATGAACCTTCAAGCAAGTTAACAATACAGTCAGAGCCGCGGTGGGAAGTTTAGATGAAAACGTACTCAGACATCAGAATGGTCTAAAATCAAGACCTAAATCTGGGGGTCTGTGGCAAAAGCTGAAATGAATGTTTACAGTTGCTGAGGACTTATTTGAGTGGGCTTTAGCTACTTTGAAAAGAGGATTGGGCAAACAATTTTATATTGATTTGTGGAAAAACTGGTAAACATGCAGCTGGAGGCCAAACTTGGATCAGCGATGTACCACCTGGTCATCGGAAGGATAAATTGGCCGTCCTTTTGATTTTTTTTTATTCTGTATGTGGAGACAGCTCAATATGAGATGTGCAAACAGATGCTGAGCATCATTAAGCATGTATGAGCCGCGCATCAGCACAAAACCCACCTGCCCTTCAGCTAAGGTCTAATGACAACAAACGCAACAAAAGCCTTGGGTGATCCGCCCAGCCTCGAGGGGGCTGCGGAGCCGTCTATTCAGCCTCTCATTCACCTGTGAGAAGGGCTCAATGGGGCCTCATGTTATTAAAAGCTTTCATACACTTGGTCTGACAGCATTATGGACACCCACTCAAACAACGGTTGATGTTTACGTGGTTCAGGCTTTTGTTGAAGCGTCCGGCCTGGCTGCCTCTCTAAACGCTGGGTTATTTTACTGCAGCGCTTGAATTGAGTAGATTTCCAACATGGAGCTGGTAAGTAGTACACGACCCAAAACCATGGATGCGCAGACAATAGGCATGCGAACAAGCTAACCAGAAGGCATGGCTAGGTTACCGGTAACAATGTGTACTTAAAATCTGTAAAACATTTCCACTATTGCCACAGTTGGCGTTGGGGGGAGAAAAACTGCTACATTTAAAAATGTTGTGTAAAAAGACTTTATTCCAAAGGGAAATCATAACCCATGTCATCCAATATCTTCAAAGAGTTGATACTATGGGCAGAAAGGACCCGTGGTAGCAGTCAGTCTTCAAATGAGTCGGAGGAGGCTTCTGACTGAAGACTGTCTCATACCAGAGATCATATCTGATGACTGCCTGAAATGAAACTTATTCCAAACACCGCTGAACCTAAACATTGAACAGCAACATTCCTCGGACCAACCTGTGGTCTGTGCATCCTGTTTAAAATGCAAACAAGCACACTGCATTGTTTTGGCCGTAAGGAAGATCAACATCAACAAAAAAGGGATTTTAGTGCGATGTCACCTGGAGGCAAGACGTGTTGTGAGGTGGATGAAAACATTAACGTCATATACGAATTAACACAAAGTTTTTGTTTTTATATCCCAACACAATAAAAGCAACTTTTACGAAGCACAAACTAGAATCAGAGAAGCATGACTCTAGTGAGGTGGCATGCTCTACTTTACTACCTTGTTTTTTGGGGGGGCTTGTGGAGGGTAGTTTCTGTTGTTGTGACCATGTGACAGTTTAGTCAGGAAGAAGCTTTTTTTTTCACAGACTGTTTGTTGTCTGTTGTGAAACTCCTGGTGTATAACTGTGCTGCTCTGTAACCCGTCAGGATGAACCGTTTGACCCCTGACACACAGCTGCTCAGCGTGAGACACACAGGCTCCTGCTTCCTCCTGGGACCAACATCAGTTCGGACGTCTTCGGCTGAAGACAACCGGACGCACACACCACATTGACACACACTGAACACCAGGGCAATGTCAACCTGAGGCCATGATGAGCTGCGGAGACTCCAGATGAGTCACAAAGGTGTTGCTGCCATCTAGTGGCGGAGGAGCGCTATTGTTCCAATAGTGAAAATGTCTTTCCATGAGGAGGCGGGGGGAGAGGGGGTATTTGTGTGTAAATATAGTGACTATAGATAGTCACTATTATTATTGTTTTCTTTAAAAAAGATCTCAAAAGTCATTCATTAACAAGTGAATGACTTGTTAATGAATAAAATATTTTTATTCATTAACAATTTTTGAATCTGAATTAATGTTTGGAGGCAGATGTTTATACACCTTTACTTTCAGTCATGTTGGGCTGGAAACTTTCAGGCAAATCAATTATGCAAGATGTAGCTAAACCACTAATTTTTATCAGCAAATTAGTAATAAATCAGCTTTTATTTAAATCTTTTAGATATATATTTTTTGTGTTTGTTTGCAATAGTTCCTGTGGTGCTTTTTGCTATTTAAACTGTTGTGCAACTATAATCATCTGAAAGCGAAAACTTTCAGATGATTATGACCAATTTGCATGGATGCAGGTTTCACCAACTCAAACTTAAGACTTTTTAGGACAACCATGAATAAAATGTAAAATTTCCTTCACTAGAGATACACAAAACAACACAGGGGACCAAAACTGTCAATTTTGTGCCTTTTTGTGGCTCTTGGTAACAACCTCGTCAGATGCCTCTAGCTTGCTGCTAATACTTGGTTGCTAGCCAGCTAGCAAGAAAACAACTATTAGCAGCTTGTTACTGATGGCCTTACATGAATAATGTATTCATGTCTATGGTATTAACCACCTCCAGTGACAGAACGCAGTGAGCGTCCTTCAAGTGAAAAACCTACATAGAATGCCATTAAACAATCCTGAAACGCCTGCAATTGACACATTTAAGGCTAACTTACATTTTCGTGTTTGAATTTTATATATTTTAAAGCCTTCATTTTAGATAAATTTAGACTTTTTAAAAATGCGGACATCCAGCTGCGATATTCAGCATTGCTTTGGACAAATTGCCTTTCTGCTAATTTGATTAATTAAAAGATGACATGAAAATAAATGCAAATCACACACAAAAAAAGCCTCATGTTGAATTTTTATTACTGAAGAAGGTGAGTTAGTTTGTTATCCAGGTTATTTTGTGCATTCTGAGGATGCGACTCCAGATCATGCACTTTCCTCACTGTAGTTGTAAAAAAACCAAATTAAAACATTAAGTCGTTCTGTTTCATAACCAATGAATAATGATCATATAAAAAAAAGGAGCAACACAAATTGACAAAATCCAACAATCACGGTAGAAAAAAAAATGTTACTCGAGGCTGAGAATCAGATGGCTGATTTTACACACTATTAAAACTACGTCACATAAATGTTTACACTACCGGGCAGTTTCTCCTGTCTGAATCTGCAAGGACAGGGTGAGATGTGGCTTAAAGAAAGAAAGAAAAACCAAACGTTGATTTTTTTTTTATCCATCTAAAAGCTTGAGGATGCTTTCCCTCTCCTTCAGAGCTTTCCAGGCCTGATCCTTCTCCTTCTTGGTTGGTGTGCGCTTCTTCTGCCTGGCGGCCATGATGCGCCGGAAACCCTCCATCACCTCGTTATCGGCCACCCTCACTCTCTGCCTCAGCTCCTGCTTGCGCATCTCTTCTTTTGCCAACCTGCGGAGACAGCGGCACGACCCAGGATCAAAATCCACACCTGCACTTCGTTGGTGCGGTTTACACCAAAAAGGTACAATCCTCACCGGAGCAGCTCCTGCTTCCTGGCTCTGTTGTGGGCAATCAGGGCTTTGAGTTCTGCTTGTCTCTTCTGCAGCTCGGCGAGGACCTCGTCCTCCAAGTCTCCTCCTTGTCCGGGTCGCTCCTCCGAGTCCAGAAGCCCTTGAGCTATCAGCTCCTCCTTGATCCGCGCCTCCAGGGAACGTGTGTGAGGAACACTGGGAGCAAAGAAACCGGCAGGAAACGATCACCACCAACATGTGTGCAGGTTTCACCAACTCAAATTTAAGACTTTCAAAGGTAAGACTAGTCCCAGTAACTGTAAGCAGAAAATCCATCATGATAAAGAGAAACTCGTTCAATGACTGGTTGATGTTCAAATACCTGAAAGCTTTTCCCTGACTTCGAGGGGAAGTCCCAGCTCCATCATTCGCATCCTTCCCTGACATGTCCGGTATTGGAGAATCCTCCATGGGGGATATAATGTTCTCCTATAGCATAATGGGGGAGGGGAGTATGAAATAAATCTCAAAAGCGTAGCTTATTTCTTTACGTTTTATCTCCTGTGAATTCTTTAAAGGGGTTTTAAGAAAAACCCTCTAAGCTTTAGGAACCACGTGAATCATCAGAGTAGAAAACCTGGATCTGACCTCTACAAGGGCCTGAAGCAGACGCTGAGTGAGCGGACCAAAGGGACAACCGTCTTCTGGTGACTCGTGCTGAGATTCGGATTTCTTAAGCAGTGAGTCTACATCTACATGGACGAACACATGGATGAGTGCTGACATGGAAACACGTCTGTGCAGAAATACGATCCTGTCACTTTAAGGCCAAAGGCAGATATGGCTGTGTTGTTCTCTCACCTTTAGCGTCCAGTTCTGACAGAGGCCCTCCCATGATGCTCTTCTTCTTGTCGTTGGCTCGTGCCCCTTCCCTCTGCTCCTCCAGCAGGTCTTCTTGAGCCCACCGCTGGGAATAGTGTTTCCCCAACACAGGAATCTACAGGAGACAGAATTAAGAGTAAGAAACAGACTCCATTTACTATGGCTAGTCTGAAGGAGCCTGGCTCTGTGAAGCGGTAGCTTGAAAAGAGCAGCTCAGAGGCAGAGCTGCGTCTCAAAGGCGGAGCGAAGTCCAGCCAGGCGTTTTGCGCAGCTAAAGGATTTCTTAAACATGCATGAAAGAAGCAAGGCAGCACTGCAGGCGTGCCTGTGTGTGATCAAAAATAGTTGATTTTACATAATAATCTCATAATACAAAATTTTTGCATTGATCATAATTTTTCAGTGACTAGACATTTTCATTCTTTTACTTGATTATTTAGTAGATAAAAAAAAGGCAAAAATGATAGTTTTAAAAAGGCTTTAAACATGTTTTTTTGTGGCCCTCGAGGCTAAAAGTTGGGACACGTCTGGTCTGGAGCAGAGTACCAATCCAGTTTCAACTGAGCCTTTTTAGCCTCCAATGAAGGAGCCGAGTTTTGTTTTCTGTCGTACTTTGAAATACTCGGCCTCGTCCTCTGGAGGTTTCAGAAGCTCCTCCAGCAGTCGGGTCTCTTCATTGGTTATATCCGCACAATACGGCTCAACTGACGCCCAGAACCTGAAAAACAAAGTAGCACAAAGGCACCTGAAGAACTTTCTTTCTTTTTTTTATTTTTATTTTATTTTATGGGCTGTACGTTTGCAGGAAAGAAGGGATTCATTACCTGTTGGGAGCGTCGTTTTTTGGAGTGCGAGGGATATCTTGCGGATCATCTGTAAATTCATATTCCTGAACTTTCGGTTGCAGGTTTTTGGATTTGGGTCTACCGGGTCCGGGGCCCGGTCCGTGCCCTCCCTTGCCGTCCAGTTTTTGCTTCTTGGGTTTGTGGCGGACTGGGGCTGCAGGATCTGGGTCCTTGCTTGGCTTCAGAAAACGCTTGTCTCCCTTCTTGTCCTGCCAGTCTGTGAGGATCTGAGGAGGAGGGCAAGGTGGTGCGGTCACAAAGTAGTGCATACCTTTTATTTATTTTTTTGCCCCCAAATATGAAATCAGTAAATACAAATACATACCATTTATAGTGTAATTCAGAGATTAAGTAATCTAAACAAAACTGGCATAGAGACTCAGCATCCATCGGACAACTGGAATGATGACTTTGAATTAATACGAGTTACAACAACATTTAATTTAACTTTTGGATCAATAACGTATATCTGAATTTTAATTTGATCAAAGCATATTCAACTGTTAGAAGGGTCTAGCCAAAATCCAGAGCTGAAACTGGTTGAGCATCTGTGACAAACTTGAAAATTAATTTTCACCGGATTTGACCAAAGCTTGAGCTGCTACTGAAAGAATAATGGGCAAAACTTCAGCTCAGACATGGAGAGCTCGTACAAGCGTACTCCAAAACACTCATAGTTGAAATAACTATGGGGAAAGTGGAGGACAGGTTGACTCAAGAGACTCACTAAAAAAATACAATAAAAATTAATGTAAAAATTATTTATTTTTACACTAAGTCTATTCAGCATCTTTCTTTCAGGTTTAAAATGTGTGCTACTTAGAAAAAATCCCAATAAAATTGCACTAGAGTTTAGAAATAATGTGATTAAAAAAGAAAAAAAGTACACAAAAATGTATAAGAGGTGTGGATAAAGTGTCGTGGGTCTCCACGCACCTGCCTCTGCTCCTCCAGGGCCCGCAGTCGGCGGCTGGCGGAGGACAGCAGGGTCTCCAGCTCCAGCTGCAGGGTGTCCAGCTCCTCAATGCCGATGCCATCGTCCTCCGAGCGGCCCAGCACCGCGGTGTAGCGGGGGCACAGCTTCACGTGCTCCACGGGTTTGAAGTCGTAGTATTTAAGCGGGGGACAGTCCTTCAGCTCGCTCATGATGCTGTCCGGCGGTCTGTTCACACGGGCAGCGTTGTTATTTCTACGTCATTAAGTCTAATGGATTCACAGTAACAGAGCTCAGCGCGCGGCGTTTCACATCTCAAACCCAGAGCACGTAACGAACCTGGGGCCGCCAAGTCACTGCTTGGTGTTCACGAAAGCTGCGTCAGTGTTCATATTACGTACACGAATAAAATACGCGAAAACGTTCGGATGACCTGTTCCTGTGTTTTCGGGGCGTATACGCGTTCAGTTAGATGTTTTAAGAGTAGCAATATTTACCGTCAGAGAACGGCGTCCATGATGGGAAAAACCATTGTATTAAGAGAGGGGTGTTTGTGGCGTATATAAACAACGTAATGACCTCGTATAAAGCTAAAACTCGCTTAAAAGTAACGTTAGTAGGTGTAACAATGTTAGCAATTCAATGTAGCGCCAAATATGTGGGTAAAATGATTAAGTTTCGATCCCATCTACCTGAAATGCTAAGGTGGTATCTTCAGGGCAAACCATTTTGCCACCATGGTGTAACTGCGTCAGTACGTTCCTGCTAATAATTTAATTATACCTTTCTAACTATACGATATGTAGTGAAATAACCACTTTGCTCGGAAACCGGCCTAAAATCGTTTAAACGATCCCAAAACAAACCGTTAAACGCAACGTCTTCTCCCGTACAATAATGGAATGGACTCGTTGGGGTGTGCGCTCGTTTCGTTTAAAGCCACTTCTGACCTGGGCGGCGGCTCGAACTGCGTTCGTGTTTTTCTCTGTGACGCGCAGGCATCCGCCCCGTCAAATAAGGAGTTAATAGAAAACGAGCGCACTCTAGCTGCACTCTATACTATGTAGGATTTACGGAAGAGTCGTCCCAGGCGTGGCCGAGGAACTTCCTTCTTGTACAGATCAAAAATGGTAAGTCTCCTACACTACATGAACCTTTATAATTAAATATTTAGCTTCTTAATTCGGCTGATCGCGAGTTCGTTCAATGCGATATGAGCTAACTGGCCGGCTTAAGTGGCCGTTTCGCGGCCCGGCTGCAGGAGAAATCAGAGCACGGACATCCTTGATGAAACGATATGCAGATATGAGAGGGTTTGGCTGAGCTGCCTTTTCTTCTCGGGCCTCTTGTGACGGATTTATTCTCTCAATGCCTTTACATTTGAAGGCAAAAAAAATAATATATATATACGTATGTCGAGGATTTACTTGAAGAATAACGACGAGCTACCGTCACCTGAAGGCATCACGTCCACTACTCCTAAAGAAAACCGTCACTTCCTCCCTACAGCCAGACACGGCTGATTTATAGCCTAATAACTTTGTGTGTGAATGTATAATAAACCATTAGTTAAATGAGACTTTAATGTGGCAACAAAATATAATCAGGTGGAATGGATGTCAACCCTGACCTCAGAGGTCAAGCTCTCTGAGCTGGTAGGTTCACTTTTGTTCCTGCTCTGATCTTTATAACCTTTCTCCCCTTTTTTTTCTGCTCAGACGGCGACTCTGCGCCCCTACCTGAACGCCGTGAGGGCCACCCTGCAGGCAGCCCTCTGCCTGGAGAACTTCTCCTCTCAGGTGGTGGAGCGTCACAACAAGCCCGAGGTGGAGGTCAGGTATGTTGATTGGCACTGGCTCACCTGCAGGCCCGCTGGCTGTCAAGAATCCGTTCTTTATTTTTAATTACGTCCCTCGAGCCTCTTGTGGATATCCTGCGGCCGTCGCACAAGCACGGACTCGATCTGGCTTGCACAAGAAAGCTTGGGGAGGGAAGAAAAAAAAACAAAAAAAGAATGGCACAAGCCAGAGCGAGGGCTTCGGAAGTTGTGCCGCAGCCTGTTTTGCCGTCTGCAGCTGTCTTGTAAAAAGAATGAACAGATCCTGCGGGCTGACTAGATGCGCTTTCCATTGACATGGTTACAGGAGCAGTAAGGAGCTGCTTCTCCAGCCTGTGGTGATCAGCCGTAACGACAAGGAGAAGGTTCTCATCGAGGGCTCCATCAACTCTGTCAGAGTCAGCATTGCTGTCAAGCAGGTCATTTTAACACAGTTTGACGTTGCTGTTGTTTTTTTTTTAACACCACAGTCCTTTTTTGAATCTAAAAGCAACTCTGCTCAACTGCAGGCTGATGAAATTGAGAAGATTCTGTGCCACAAATTCATGCGGTTCATGATGATGAGGGCTGAGAACTTCTTTATTCTGAGGAGGAAACCAGTCGAGGTAAGGGATCAGTTTGTTTGTTTGTTTGTTTTTTTAATGACAGCAAAAGGTACAATCATCCATATGCAAACACAAGGCAATAAATTACCATGTCAACTTATTTGAATTGGCATAAATCATATTCCTCTGGAGTGAGATGAGCAGAAAGATGGCGAACGGATGGATTATTTTTTTTCTCTTTTTTTTTTTTGTACTAAACTGTTTGCATCTTCTGTCATATCTCCGCAGGGATATGATATCAGCTTCTTGATCACCAACTTCCACACGGAGCAGATGTACAAACACAAGCTGGTGGACTTCGTCATTCACTTCATGGAGGAGATCGACAAGGAGATCAGCGAGATGAAGCTGTCTGTCAACGCCAGGGCCCGTATCGTCGCTGAAGAATTCCTCAAGAACGTACGTTTGTTTCTTTTATTTCTTTTTTATAGGCTTGAATATTGTTTGACATAATGACGGAGGCTAATCATCCGCTTCCTTCCCACAGTTCTGATGCCGGCCTTGTCTTTGGGGTCTCTCTAAGGTGCCAATCAACTCACGGAGAGCTTAGGGAGTAAACAGCCAATCAGCGAGGAGATGAGATTGTTGTGACCAATCCGACACCCTTTAGTGTCCATCCTGTAATATTTCCCCCGTATTCATGGCTATCAATTCCTGTATATAATGAAATATTTGCTAGTTTCATTTTCAGCCTCTCTGAACAAATCCCCAAACAAAGGCGGGTCCTTAAAGTATTAATCAAGTTGATAGCCATGAATACGACGGAGCTCTGAGGATTTGTTGTTGCAGATGAAAAAGAAGAAAAATGACCAGTTTTTTTTTTTTTTTTTTTATCTTTTATTTTGTATCGTCTAACGGAGTCCTGTATGTTCTGTCGCTTTTGCTTCAAAAATTGCCTCCAAAGTTTCGGAACACAAAAAGGGGAGCGATCCGCGCGGCATTAAATCACGAAGTGGGAAGCTGAAATAAGAAAATAATGAGAGAGAAATAAAAGTGATTTGTTTGTACTTGTGTGTTTGGAGTCAGAAAAGCGCCGTACATGGTTTGCTGCCGCCACTGCTCCTATGAGCGCTTTTTGAGGAAGTGGCTCGTCGAGGGCAGTGAGGTCATGACAGCGAGGAAGGGGAAGTGCCGCGGACGGCGTGTCAGCGCGACACTTTCAGTGAGACGGGCTCATTTGTTTTTGAAGCGGGGCTGGAACGGACTACCCCAAAGTCGTCAACGTCTTACCTGCAGCAAATAGCCGTCCTGATGAAAATTCAGTGAAGTGCTTTTCTTTTAATTCTCATTACTTTCAGCCAACACATTAACTTCAACATTGGCTTTCTAAATAAATTAACATCTGTCACTCCCATGATGTAACCCCCTACTAAAATGTTCACTTCCTCTTTAATTCTACAACAAGTGCAGGCAGTAAAAACAAGTCGGGAACATTTGACACTTTTAATACACAAAGCATTATTTTACCACAATAAAATAGTTAGATTTTTGAAACAATACTACCTTGCCACACCAGAAAATGACAAAGTAATTGGTTTCAGATGATACTTTGTTCGCTTCACCCCCTAGTGAGAGAGGATGCCTAACTTCCTGTTAAGTGAAGTAATGAATCATACCAAGCGTGTTTCACACATCATATAAGGTATTGACTTGTTTTTTAGCAGATGAGAGACGAATGCTGTTGGAAAAAGTAAAGCATAAAAATTCTGAGTGGTTTAGAAAAATAACATCTTTATTGCAGTAGAGTGGGAACATACATTTTCAAGTCGAGATCAATATTTTTGGGCTAATGATCCTTTTTTGCATTCCTATGTGTTGCCTCAATAATATTTTACAGGTGGGCTCATCCCATCACATACAGTAACCAGGAAGAGGGGAAGAAAAAACTACTTCCACTCAATTCTAGCAACGGCTTATCATAGTTTACTGTTCTACTTCGTTCACTCCTGTCAGCACAGGCAGTTATTGTAAAGAGCTTTGTTTTCATATCGGAGCAGGTTTCAAAATCTACAGAGCTGCACATGATCACTTCATGTGAAATTATGATTGCACAAAGTCAAACATGCAGCAGACGAGTTGCACAATTATTTTGTAGAAACCACAGGGTTCACACTTGAAAACACGTCACAATGACTTCCCAGGGTCAAGTGTGCCTCCGCACAACACCGTCACGCTGAAAACGGCAAATTTAACGAGAGCCGAGTGCTTACGACATGGACATCTGGTTCACAAAGGTCAAACGCTCCTTAAACTCGGAACAGGAGAAACAAGACACAGGAGGAGCTACAGATTGTGGCAGTGTGGCACCTCGTCCACCCAATCAATGGGTCACGGGTGGAAAGCGGGTTGGAGTGGCTGGAAATGTGAGAAACGCACAAGACCGGTGGGGGGGGAGGGGCAGAGAGGTCACTTCAGTATCACCCGATTCCAACCCAGACATCAGAGGTGAGCAGGGACGGTCTGCAGGGCGTCTTGCGTGGTACGATGGATGTCGACGTTCTGGAAGGAGGAATGAGGCTGGGTCAGATGGGCTTTCACGTCCCAACACTTTGTCAGAAAATGAAATCACTCATGTCTGTAGTTAGTTTGGCGTAACGGAGGGCAAAATCCAGAGCAGTTTGACACCTTCAATTGGTTTTACTTTTTATATACGCCACACAACTGGAAATGGGGTTTTCTTTTGTCTTAAAAAAAAAGTCTTTGCTGCCATTAAAATAATCAAAGTGCCCGTTAAAATATTTACAAGTTGAAACTAAATGTTGAGCATAATTCATTAGCCGCTCCTCTGTGAGCAGACGGGAGCCTGTTCTGGACACAGAGAGGATTCTGTTCAGGCCCAAAGACAGCCGCTCTGTTATCCAACCCCACAGGAACCTCTGCATATGAATGACCGGCAAACATCCGAGTCCTCAGAGGAAAGCAGTACTTGGTCTGGGGAGTCTATCAACTACATGGCAAGGCTATATTATTATAGAAGCCTTTTTAGAAATCTGGTTTAAAACATTTATTTAAAACATATATCAGGGGTGTCAACATCCAGTCCTGGAGGGCCAGTGTCCTGCAACTTTTAGATGTGCTTCTGCTGCACCACACCTGAATAGAATAATTATTAAGGCTCTGAAGATCTGATCTACACCAGGAGGAGGTAATTAAGCCATTTCATTCCTGTGTTTTGTACGTGTGGCACATCTAAAAGTTGCAGGGCACTGGCCCTCGAGGACTGGAGTTTGACACCCCTGATTTATATAATAATCTACTTTTAATTTTGTCAATGACTCCTGGCAGACCTGGTCAATTTGTCATTATAAACATGAACAAAAGCATGTTTGAGCATTCTCAAACTTTTTTTTTAATGCCAAAACTAAGCAATTACACAAAATATACATTTGGTTGATGCTAAATATTTACAACCGTACTTAATAAACTCAACACCATGAGTGAAAAGCTTTTTATAAAAGATCTGCAGCTTGACAAAAGGAAGGTTGTATAAAAGACACCAACTTTAGCATACAAGTGTATTTTGCCCCAACTTGTTTAAAAATAGAGACAATATTTATTTACCTTTATGTCAGACAAAGTAGCTTTTGTCGTAAAACACAAAAGAAAATGGTGACTAACACAGATCCTTGGGGAACACCAGTGGATATTGTAAGTTGAGCTTTCAGGTAATCAGTTCTGACCTCAAGACCAAATCATAAAACAGGAAGTCTAAAACTCGTACACATAAGTTTAAGTTAAAAAAATAAAACAGGTGTCATTTGTTGTCTAGTGATTGTTTATGTTTTTTTTTTCTGTACTTGTGTCTGAAACAAATCATCTCTTAATGGAAACTTAAAAAATAAAAATAAAAAAAGAAGCACAAGGAGAGTTGGGGAGGAATCAGTGGATGTTTAGGTGAAGTTTATTTACAAACAGCGAACAAAAATATTCCTTTTAAGTCTGATAATTGATGTGAACGTCCTTCAAGATCTTTCACATTATTTATCACAAACAGCTACATAAATCCAGCATTTTTGACTTGACACTGTTTCACATTCTAATAAATTAAAGATTGTTAGGAAAAAAAAATCTGCAACGTCGTGTAGGTAGATTAGAGTTTCGATAAAAACCTTGAGGCACTGGTAAAAACAAATTGACATCGCTAAGGCATACAGACAAGATTGTGCTACACATAAAAGGTCCTTCCTCAGACGAGGCGCCGGAGCTTCATTGCTTCAGGGTTCGGAGTGCAGCATCATTTAAAAAGCTTTTCGTTTGCTCTCCGAGAATGGGAGAGCGAGCGCGGCGAGATTCGTGGCAGGATTGAAAGAAAACCCCAAAGATTAGCAACCGGAGTCTACTTATTTACCACCTTTGCCACGCCTTCAAATGCAAGCACAAGACAAAAAACACAAAGACCAAAGAAAAGAGGTTCAATCAAGGTTTTTAGAGTGTGCATTTCAGGGTTCATTGTGCGTAATCGAGGCTAAAGGAGGGAAAGGGGTGAGAGGAGTCGGAGAGCGCTAACTGCCTCACTGGTGAGCTGGCACAGTAATCAAAGCCTCCTCTGACATCCGTGTCACGTCTACGTTCTGTTTGATAAAACAAAAAAACAAAACAAAAAGGTGGAGGAATCAAACACAAGGGAAACAAGAGATACACTACAGACACACATTAACGCACAATTTAAACCATAAAAAACTTCCACGTTTGGTTCTTTAAGTGTTTTCTTTCCTTCATATGACAATTAGCTGTGAGCTAGCAGGAAGATGGCACCTCATGCTAAATATTATGCATTTGATCTCGAGAGCTAAAGCAATGTTTTCTGTTAGCTTTAAAAGGAACTGTAAACACTTCCGATGCGTTTGCACCCTGCAGACAAACGACACGACCGTTACGCTCAACAACCGAGGCGACGAATACCGGCGCCACGTGACCCACCTCTGGTTTCTCTCTGTGCGTGTTGACTGCGTCCACGTTTAGGCAGATGGACTCCACTTTACAGCCTGCGAGGACAGGTATTTGTTGGTAAATCAAAAGATCAGAACACATCCACTTGTTAAGCATAGTGAGCACAAGATGGCAGCCCTACCGTAGGCCACGGGGGTCAGCTTCAGCACAGTGTGCAGTGGGCACTTCAGGTACGGCAGCTCCTCTATACAGACACATAAATCAGACCAATGAAACCAGCAGAAGCCCACCTCGCGCCATCAATACAGACGCTTTAACTTCATTCTTTAAAAATATATGTACATAAATAAGTTAGTGTACTTTGACTTCAGTCAATTTTACATGACGCATTTAAATATTTTCTGATCTTCAAATTCGCCTGATGAAGGAGCTGGAGTCATTTTTCAGCCTTGATTCGTGGGTGATCTGGCTGCCAGGATTGGATGATTTTCAGGAAAAATAAATAATCACAACTTGGCACTAACTGGGTCACCAACAAAACAGGAAAACTGTATTTTATGTAACACGGTGAGTCGTATCTGTTGTTCATTCAGCCTGTAAGTGAGTGAGAGAGAGCAAGACTTTGGAAATTCTTTCCAAAGGCCACAAATGGCCCCCGTGCCGCACTTTGGACACCCCTACTTCACAACACAAATAACAGTTTTTTTTATTTTTAAAGAAAATGTTATAGTTCCCTTACAAAACCCAAGCAAATGTGTAATTTTACCGTTTTGGTTATCACCCCACAATGTTTCATTGGTTTTATTTTGTGTTTGACTTCTTAAAGCACCCACCTGCCGTCTTGTCCAGGAAGTAGGCCAGCAGACAGCGCATGACCGCCTGGTGGCAGATGACCAGCACATTCTCCTGCCTCTCCAGCTCCATGATGACGGGCTCCAGGCGCTGCACCAGGTCCTCGTAGGACTGAGCGTGGCAAAAATGTTCAGAGAGGCTGGTCAGGTCATCAGTCAAAAGACGGAGGGAAAATCTGCCGAGCGAGGCTTTCTCCGTACAGGTAAACAGACTAAACATCGGAGGAGGTGGAAAATGGACAGTAATGACCGAATCCGTCTTTGTCTGGGAGGTTATTGGAGGGATAATGGGAAGAGGAGCTGGCCGAGCGTTCAGCGAGAGTCACAGATGTGAAATCTTCTCATGTTTAGCTAAAGACGCCTTGGAGGCTGAACGTCCAAGCAGAGTCTCTTTAACGGAGCTATTTGAAGAATGTGGGTTTAATGTGGTTATTACGGTAACAAAGGAGAACTGAGTCAGAGTCTCTCCAAAGTGGACATGGGACAAAAAAACAAACGCAATTTCATTCATCATTTTACGTAAAGTACACCTAAAAATTGCCACCTATGCATGTTTTTAGGGCTGCAACTAACAAATATTTTAGTAAGTGATTATTTTATTCGGTTCATTAATTAACTGATCGGATAAAAGGATTTTCCACATTCTGCAGAATGTACATTTCACATTGGTAGAAATACATTAAAAGATGCAAACAAGCATTTTTTAAAATATAAAAAGCATTTTATTTACGCAATAAGAGCATTCTTTTAGTGAACGGTTGCAGATTAATTGACTAATTTATTGATTAATTTTACTTCGATTCAGAACGGATGACTCAGACTTGTTCAGGACGCCTTAAATGTCAATGTGGATGAATGCAAACGGTGAATTGCTTCGCTGGTTTTAGGAACATCAAATGTTTGCAGGTAAAAAAAAAAAAAAAAAAAAAACTTCATCGGAATAAATGAATAATAAGAACAAACTCTGCCTCTGACCTCTCCTTTTGGATAGCGATAGCGGTACTTGTCCTGGTCCCTCAGGGCGAACTCCAGCGGAAAATTTTCCTGGATCTCCTCGTACATCATCTCCTCACACACACCCTAAAAATTACATCACACACACACATTGAATAAAAAAAACAACAACAAAAAAAAAAAACACGGATAAAACAAGTTACTTACAAACAGCACGATGAAAACATTACTTCATGGTCCCTGACGGTAATTTCTACCATTATATCGCTTATTGACATTTTCAATCAATTGATGCTAATTCTACTTAGTGAAGAGCGCAGGAAGAAAATACTGTGGTGCAAATTTTACTGAAGTTCGTATCTGATTGGAAGATTGTAATTTAGCTCTAAATTAAAGGACTATTTCACTGTTTTCGGGGAAATTTAGACAAACGTTAGATCCTCTCTGGTGTTAAATCTTACATAGCTACACTGGTCAAACCTGTACTCGATGATTCTAAGCTGAACAGAAATCCCTTCCAGCAGCTTTTTATGAAACTATTTAAAGAAAACATATATTTCTGAAGCTTTTTGGACAGTGTGAGGATTGCAACACACACACTGTGTTGTGGCCTTTATTTTTCACTACAAAAAAAACCTTTTCTCAAAGGAATCACACAGGAAGTGGTGGGAAAAAAAACCATGAACCAAAACTCCTAAAGGATTGGGAATCAAACCCTGGATGGCTGCATCAAATGACTTCATAGCTCTACTGTTGGTAGCTCTACTCGATGGTCCAAGCCTGAAATCCCTCTTTAACAGACAACTGAGGTTCAGAGAAGGGAAGCGTTGAGGTGAAGCTCTCCGTTCTTGTAAGAACTCACCGCGTCGATCTCGTTGAGGACCTTCCACTGCTCATACGGGGCATTGAGGGCCTCTGCTGTCTGGATAGTTCTCTTCATCTGGCTGGTCCAAACCTTCAGCTCGCCTATATTCTGCGTCTGGATGAACTGGTTCAACTTCTTAGCAAACTGGACGGACAAGAAGGACGTTTATTTTACTCTCCTGGCCTTGTGGCTACATCTCTCAAGACTTCTCCTCTTCTACCTCTTTCCCCCTCGGCGTGAGACCCGAGTCGCCCCCGATCCGACCCTTGACGTTGAGCTCGCTTTCTCCATGGCGACACAGGTAGATGGAGCGCGGCGTGATGTGGATGTTCATGAGGTAGTAGACGATCCGGCTCTGGACGTGGTCCAGCACCTTGTTGACCAAGTAGCGCTGGCCGACATCCATGATCTTGATGAAGGAGAGATCCCTGAAAGGAGACGGTAAGTTAGCTCGGCTTTCATATCTTCCGAGTCAAACGACCGACGGCGGACCAGTCGAATGCCGTCGGATGTCATTGTTCATCCTGACCTGTCCAAGACCTCGTCCAGCGTCTCATAAGAGTTTTCATAGCACTTTATCCTCTTCATGAAATCCTCCACTGCTTCCTCCGTGTTGCAGTTAGTGTAATCTGGGCTTCCCAACTTCACTTGCTGAAAAAGAAAAGAACAGAAAGAAAGATGGGGGAGAACAAAAGTGAAGTCACACCAAGGCAAAATAATCTGATACAGTATCTCTTCATCTTTTTGTCATTTTATATCAGTTTCCCATTAGGATTTTATGTGATGCATCAAAAAAAAAAAAAAAAAAAAAAGGATTATTGTGATTGATTTTCTTCAGCAGGAACATGGAAACTGTGGCTAGATATATGAGAAACATGAAGGAGAGGGGCTTCTGCACAGCGGCTACTTACAACAATGTTTTCCTGAATGACTTCAGGGTCTTCACACACCGACTCTACAAAAAAAGCCTGAACGAAGAGGGAGAAAACACAGGTTTGGTGCAGCCACCATTAGAAACATTCTCTTTACATCTTTACGTGACCGCCATGAAAACTAATTTTACTGGACAAACAGTCCCAGGAATTATCCCAATAAAGGTGAATAATAACCTTTTTTCAAGCAATTCAAATAAGTCAACTCTCTTAAAGATCAACAAACTGACACTGGAACGGGAAGACATTGTAAAGAACCAAAAAATAAATGAACAAAACGAGCAAAGACAATAAATAAAACTGAAAAATTGAAAATGCACACATTTTTGCAAGCAAAAATCAACCTCTGAGAAATTAAGACTCGTTGGAAAGAAAATAACTGAGTTCATTGAAATTTTTAATTGATTTACTGCAGGCTTTACGACGGCAGGTTTCACCTTAAAACCATTCTGTTCTGCAAACTCCAGGATAGTCTCCCTTCTCTCTCTGGTTGTGTTTGTCGCATCAAAAACCTGTCAAACAGAAACTGTGGTTTCAGGCGAGCCTCTTAATTCTGTCGCTGCATAGAAAGAAAGTAAACACTTAACCTACAGCGACTTGGCCTCCTTCCTCTGTTAAATACTGTCGCACGTCGTTCAGAGCCGCGGAAGCACACTGCCTGCAAGCACAATGCAGACATTCATATATCTGCCGCTCAAGAAAAAACACAACAAAAAAAGTCATTAGCATAGCGGCAGCTACGGATCATACCTTCTGATCTTCAAACCTTCCTCGTTGTTGGGATGGAAAAACTCAAAGGACTTGTAGATCTTCAGGAACTCCCTCCGGTACTGTCCAACGTTGAACTCTGGAGAGAAAAAAAAGGGAGGAAAACAAATAAATACTTTCAGATGTTTGCGCAGCGGCAGCTCCATGTTTCTGGTGAGTTCGCCTCTGTTCACCGCGGCTGAAAACGCAGAGAAGCCGTCGCGGATGTGCACAAATGGACACTACGTGGTGCGAGAGTGTCTGTCCCTTTAACTCCGGAGAGATAAAGCGACAGACTTGTTTACCGCAAGTTATTGCGATAAACAACAATCAATCGAATAAAAATGCAAGGACGCGTTTGCAAATATCAATACACTTCAAGTTCTAATAAACACGTAATACTGGAGCTGGAAGATGTTTTAAATATCCACAATAAACAGAGAAAACAACAAAAGCAATGAATCATAAAGTTTATGTGAACAAAATTCTCTTTAAAAAAAAGAATGGGGACTAGTTGGGACCTAAGCACCAGACTGAAGACTTTAAAAAAGAGAGATAAACGATAATTCATGCAATAATTATTGAAGTTCCTTTAATCAATCATGCGATTAATTGATTTGTTGCTTATTGCAGCAGGCCTTCCTCACATGACAATGTTGTCACTTTTTTCCTTTGTGGTCAGACACCTGAACCAGACAGGACAGATTCATAGCTGCTCACTAATACGTATTATTTTATAAACTAGTAGGGATACACGATAACTTGCAGCTCTGGAAAAAATTAAGAGCCCACTGCAAAATGATCAATTCTCTCATTTTATTTTTTTATATGTAAATGTTTGAGTGAAATGAACATAATCATTTTTATTCTGTTAACTACTGACAACATGTCTCAACATGAAGTTCCATGCAAAACATTTAGTATTTCTTTAGAGAAAATGAGAAATGGGCAAAATAATGAAAAACAGGCAGCGCTTTCAGACCTAAAATGACGCAAAGAAAACACATTATTATTGAATTAGAAACAGCAACACTAATGTTTTAACTCAGAAAGAGTTCAGAAGTCAATAGTTGGTGGAATACCAATGGGGGTCAGTGCAGTGGGCTCTTAGTTTTTTCCAGAGCTGTACATGTATCACTATATTCACGTATATTTGTATATATATTTTCTTCTGTTTCATTTGGACAAATTGTTTTTTTTTTAATGAAAGGCGACGTCGAAGACAAAAGTATTTATTTTCTTGTGAGAGGCATCAAAAACCCTCCCCGCCGCTGGACGTTAGTACCTCTGGTCGGGACGCCGATCCAGTTCAGATAGCGGGTCAGCTTCTTGGAGATGTAGGTCTTTCCTCTCGCAGGCAGGCCCACAGTGACGATCAGGGTGGGACAGTTGGTCATACATACTGGAATAACAAAGGGAAAGAGAAAACCTCTGTTATCACTTTTTTGCATTTTATCAATCTCTTATTGGAAAGGCAAGTTATAATTACTTTGTACAATCCAGCTTCCACCACAATGGAAGTGTGAGCAGGAATAACAGAATCTGTCATCACTTTTAATGAGCACAGAGGAAATACTCTCAGCTTCAAAACACTAAAGTAATCACTCCAATTATCTTCCCCAACTATAAAAAATAGACAATATCACTGTTACTGCATGCTTAATTATCCATCATGTGTAATTGAAAGGAAAATATCTCATGCAAGAATGTTCTGTTTTTTATTATTATTTTTATGAGGGCTGATCAAGGAGCAGAGGTCACTTTGTTTCCAGGACGTGTCGCCATGGTTGTGAAATGCTGGATCAGGAAGGCGAGAAGCAACTTTCCCCATCGGGGCCCTTTTAACTCGGTCAGAGAGCACGCGGTTTGCACGGTTTGCTCGTTTCTTTGTCGCTGTGAGAGACTGAGCCCTTGTCACGAAGCAAAGCCAAATCTGAATCTGGCTTTGCCTTTGTCGCTCGCCCAACCAGCCAATATCCAGGAGCGTCGCTCCACCTCAGCAGCTCCCACAGAGCGACTCTGACGTTCGCGTCCGAGTCGCAGCGCTCGATTGAAGCAACTTTGGTTAGCCCCTTCGATCAAGATTTTACTAAACACAGCAGAGGCTTTATACGTTTTTATAAATTTCATAAGTTGTATTGGTTTGAGAGGGCCTCTCTTAAAGTGTTTCAAAGTTAAAAGAGCTCACTCTCTGTGTGTTTAACGGTTTTACAACTCAGAAAGTATGTACAGTAGAAATATTCACTCATGGTTGGACTTTAAAAAAAAAAAAATTAATCTTGAACTGCAGCTTAACTAAAGTACAGAAGCTGTGTGTGTGTCGCAAAAAGCAGGATTCAAATTTTGACTAATAATTTCTCCCACCAATGAATTTAAAGCGTTTAGGTTTACATGCACTTCCAGGGGCCTCGAGGGCCCTAAACAGACGCTTGGTTTGCTTTTGCTTTGGGCCGGCTGAAGCCAGCTCCAGGCTCGTTGGGACATTTTGAGCCCCTCTCGCCACGAAGTGTGCGCAGACACAAAAAATGAGAGACTGTCACACGGCAAGACTTCCGCATGAAAGCAAAACAAACAGTTTTGTCTGTCAACTGCTGGTGCTTCGCCCGGCACAGCAGGGAGGCAGAGATGAACCGCGCGCATCTCCGCTGCGGGGAACGTTACGTGAATCTTTACGTAACCGTGCGAACCAGACGGGCTGGAGCAGCAGCGCTGCGTCTGAACTCTGCGCACTGTTCCCCCCACCCCCCAACACACGCTTCAAAACAGACCGACCGACCGACTGACGCAGCAGCAGCAGCGCTAATTCATCATTAAAGGGCGAGTTCACCAACGTGCGCGTCTCGTTAAAAAGCCAAAAACGGTAACGCTATCCTAGCAACTGTCGCCACGTCGTCGTCTATACGCACCCCTTCGATGAGAAATGTGTTTTTCAGGAAGGCCATTTTTATTTGGCATCCATATCTTCTTCAGAGGGTTCTGGGTGAGTTCCCGTGGACTGAACGTGGATTTGTCCTCCATGTCGCTGGGCGGTGAGGCCGCGGCGGGGACACTGACCCGGGGAAGCTTCCCGTGATGCTGCTCCGAAGGTGACCGGTGCTTCATCCGCGCGGCTCAATTCAGATAGACCTGCAACTACCGCGCGCGCGCTCTCTCTCTCTCTCCCTCCCTCCCTGGTTAGTGTTGAAGTCACGTGCTCAGTTTCGCTTCGAACCTAACCGGCGACTTTGTATGGCAAGGCATATTAGCATTTAATCATATACATAAATGTTTTTCATGAACCTAATTTTGTCGAATTAGAAATGTATCAAATTTGATCAGAAATAAAGTTTTTGGGTTCTTTTTTTCTGTGAGAAAACAGCAATGTCATTTATTCAAAAATATTGTGTAAACTTTAAGATATCTGATGCTGCTACGCCTAAATTCCTCCACTGTGGCACAGTAAAGCCTATTTCTTTGCTAGTATAAATAGAATTTTTGAAGTCAAAATGTACATTTAGCAAATTGGAACTAAAGTAGAAATCCTTGTTTTTGTGCACAGATTTGACAAGAAAAGTTGATCCAAATTCTGCTCCAAGCTATGAAATGAAATTGGACTTGCCATACTAAACCGTAACGACTGAAGTACAGGCGCAACTTGTTTCCTGTAGCCAGAGTACACAGAGTAGTGTACTTTTGTTGGGTTAGGTGCAGTAATTAATTTGAACAGCTGATGAAGCTTGAATAACATCACACACCCATTTAGTCATAAACTGTTATAACAGCAGGATAAGCACAGATAGGACTAGTAAGGCAGTAAGTTGAGCAATAGGTTGACGTTTGATAAAAAGTTCAATGTGCACTGACAGCAAAAATATTATCACAAGATAATGTTTTCTAATGTAGTTAGATTAAATTTCATATTGTGCTTGACTTAAACAAAGTAGCACATAATTCTTTAATAGAAAGAAAACATCACATGTTTTGTACATTTTTTTTAATGAAATTTTGAAAAATGTGACATGCATTTTGATTCAGCCTCTTTATGCTGCAGTATTTTGTTGAAACATATTTTGATACAATTACATCTGGTCTGTAATTTTCTATGTAATTACAGATCCAACTTAATGACTTTAATTTAGTGTGATGTCACCACAATGAAACCCAGTTTCAGCAACTGACATAAGAAGTTACACAATTAGTAAATAGAGTCCACCTGTATGTGAATTAATGTGAAAATGTAGATGATCTGCAAAGGACACAGAGAACATTGGAAGACCAAACAACACATTTGTTCAGGGAGAAAGATGTGGAGAAGATTAAAAGCAATTAAGAGTGATCAAACCTTTGAAATCTCGCAGAGCTCTATCTAATCCATCATCAGAAAATGGAAGTATGGCCTGACAGCAAACCCATAAAGTGCTTCACATCATAACAAACACAAAAACACAAAGTCGTCAAGTGGGGGGTTCTTGCCTTTTAATCCAGAAAAGGTTTACTGATTGCACTCCTACTGTGTTATATGGAACAAAATACCAATTGGTATTTTTATTCCCACTCACAATCATGCAGTTTACAACGGTGTTAACAGCCTTTCAACGGGCTTCAACCTGGAAAAGCGGTAAGAGTTTTGGCCTAATCTCTTAAGAAATGAGAACAGACTTGGAACTTCACCTTCTGGCAGGACAACAACTCTGAATACGCAGCTAGAGCTACAATGTAATGGTTCAGGACACGATACATTCGTGTGACAGATGAGGCGGGATAGGCCGGTCACTTAAGGGTTTTTTCAGCTGACTTTACAGTCCAGCTTTTTGTCATATTTACATCTGTTTTGGTATTGTTTCTTTGCCTTTGTGACTTATCACCACGTGACTTTCCATCTTATGCGTTTGCTATAAAAAAGAAATAACTCAAAGCGGAGACCTAAATCCCACAGAGGATGCACGGTAAAACCTGAAAATTGATCTTCATGACCCCAATCCAGTCTGACTAATGTTTAGCAGATGGCATGCAGCTCCAAGTGTCTGTAACTTACTTGGTTCTTTGCAGGTCCGGTGTGTTTATGCTGACAGTATATGTAGGTTTTATGTATTACGTGCAGCATTACCATTATTTTTCAGTGTAGAGGTTAGGGTTAGGTATGTAGTGGTTAGGGTTAAGATGAGATTAAGGTTTAGGCTGTAGAAATGAATGGAAGTCAATGGAAAGACCCCATAAAGATAGTCAAACATGTGTGTGTGTGTGTGTGTGTGTGTGTGCGTGCGTGTGTGTGTGAGGGGCTTATGAGGAAACCTACTTTCCTGTATTTCTCCAGCACCTCCTTATATTTGAGATTGTGTTATCCAAGCACAGTGGTTTTCTGTTGACATTACATCAGACGTGACGCCAGACAACATTCGCCTGATTCAACAACAATATCTTTGCTGAATGAAACGCTAACCTTTTAAAATCCGAGCTAATCTCACAGCACTGCTAATACTTCGAGAGCCGACGGAGAAAAACTCCAGCTATGAGGCTGATTCTGGTTGAATCGTGATGCACATTAGAAGTTGCAAGTTCTTAATTGCTGAAGCTTTTTGTCGGTAAAACCTCGCAAACTTAACCCAAGCTACAATTGCAAACTTCAGTGTAGTTAGTCAAGATTTAATGGCATAGATCGACACAAAGTGGCAAAAAGAAAATGGAGTAGAAGGAAAATTAGATGTTTTCAACCTTTTTTCCTAACAAATACTGGAAAGAGTATTTATAATTTGGTAGATTCCTTGTACAAATGCAGCTTGTGCAGACTGAAAGTTTGTCCACTTCTCTTCTTTCTCCTTTCACATCAGGTTATGTTCACATTAGTTTTTGGTCCCATTACATAAAATCTTAGCACTTCTTTTCTCACGTCACTTTCAGACAAACGACACTAGGTGGCACTATTGCCCTTCCTTCCTCTGTCAATCAGGCGACCCAGGTCTGCTGAGCATCACTGCACATTGACACCAGCATGTCCTAAACAAAGCTGGAACGAAGGACATATTTCCAACGCCTCCATACCTTCAATTACATCTTCATACCATGTCTGTTTTGTTTCCAGGAGCTTCTCAGAGTCTCTCTCCATGCAGGGCGAACAGAAACCCTCAGAGTGTGTGTGGGCCGAGTGCAGCCACCTGAAGACACCACAACAGGACAGGACTTCGCCGGAGCAGGACCGAACTGCTGCACGGACGTTTCCAGGTTAGTGGGCCCATCGGTTTGGTGCGTTTTCTTTCGCGCCGATTATATTAAGCTCAGAGTCGGCCTCGCAGATGGAGCTGCAGAGACTGTGACCTAAATGTGGCGAGATGGAGGTGTTCCTAATTAAATGACTGCAACATCCGCGGTCCCTTACTGCCGGCGGAGCATCATTTAAGTCGGGTTCATAGGGTCCAGGAAGAAAAGTGGCTCCCGTGACTCACGGCGTATTTTTAGAATTTCAGCCGGCTAAAGTAAACACGCTGCAGAGCTTTTATGATCCCGTACAAACCGAGACGCCTCTTATCGGCCCGCGCTCATCTGGTGGGTTGTGTGTGTGTTTTAATATATGATAGTCTCGACTGTGGCTGAACGGGGTGGCTTGAGACGCTTAGCCCATGAACTTTCTCATAACGTCTACAAGCTTTTCATGTAAGAACACACGCATTTCATCAAAGAGGGATAAAACTACCATAAAGCTTCAAACCTACTAAGTTTTGGAGCTTGGTAGGTCCGGCAGGGAGAGCATAGATCAGCAAAGCCACCAGGAAGGCCGTAGTGACCCTGGAGGACCTGTTGCCATGACAACTTAAAACTATCATTTGTGGGAAAGAGGCAATAATAAAAAATAAAAAATGCTTTGATGGAAAGAAGAAAGTTGTGATATTTGCATGTGAACAAGTGGGCTCGGGTCAAAGTTCAGCTACATACAAAATGAAATGATTTCAGAACAAAATGGCCTCCATCATCAAACACGGCAGTGGCAGCATCATGCTCTTTGAAAGCTCTGGGTTTTTTTTGTTCTTCTTTTGGCAGGGACAGGAACAAATGTTGCAAGCCGACAGCAAAGTTAACGTTACGTCAAAGACCTGGAAGGTCGACATTTTTTGTCAAAAGTAATACCAGGCCAAGTATAAGATCATTTTTAAAAGCTAAAATTATCAAAAAAAAATTTTTTTATATATAAGGACTCGGCAATAAACGGAACATGAACGATTTTTTATTTTTATTAGTTTTTTTAGGGAAAGGGTCGTACATCTCCGATTTCAAATGATTTTTGTACCTTTTCCTTGTTTGTTGAAAGATACCCGGCTTGCTTATAGTTCTGGGCTCAATTTAAGAAATGCAGTCAGTCCTCAGCGATAAAAATAATTTTCATTCCAAAACACTTTGTGAATCCAGCACAAGCTTTTCTACAGCCGGTAAAACCAAACTGGGACGCACCAGAGCCCAAGTCAATGAGCAGATGTGGTTCTGGCTAACATGGAAACACAAGGAAACCAGAAAAAGACGATCACTCTGTATTGCATCAAACGCCCAAACGGCCCCCTGACCTTCGCTTTGACCAGCCTCGATCTAGACCTCACAGGACAGCTTCACCCGAAATGTTAACTCAAAGAGGGCTCAGTTCAAGAGCACGCCACACTTTTCAGATGTTAGTGTCGCCTTGTAATTCTGCACCGGGTCAGCTCGGTTCTTGATGCAGAAACCTTGAACCCGGGCAGGAGCGTGTGACAAAATGTCAAAGGTGAAGGTCGACGCCTGCTGTTCCAAGGCCCTTCGGAGCAGCTATTTATGTAGGAAACAGATTCTTCAGCGAGGTGTCCTGCGTGGTTTACACCAGAACACTAACAGGAAGTAGAGCTCAACTCTTCCTCCTCCTCTCCATCCTCCTCCTACCAGCAGCTGCCAGGCTCTGGTTGCAGCCAAGCTGCCTTTCGGCCCGGACCAGTCGCTTCCCAATATAGCAGTGCGGTATCACCGAACCCCTTCCTCCAAAAGGGCCCACGCTCCGGAGGAGCCTGGACCTGGGTTCTTCGGCGTGACGTCACGGGGGCGGACGCGTTGCGCGGTCCGGTTTCTAATCAGAGCTGCACAATCACAACAGCGAACAGCTGTCAACAATCCGACCGCATCCCCGCACAGCCGTCACGCGCGACCACGCAGACGAGACTGAATCGGAACGTCTCGACCCGATTCTCCTTTTTTCTGTAG